AATACGGTATATATACATAGCTTACTCCTAACTCATTTTCTGACATTTATATATACATAACTTACTCCTAACTCACTTTTTGACAGTTATATACACATACCTATATAGGGAAATGCTAAAAGTATTTATTTGAAGCGAAGTTTCTTAATTCAGAAGTATCCAAAACAATACTTAATTTATTAAAAACGGTTATAACGAGATAGGGAAAGGTATTTCGTATGTATATTCTATTTCATAATTATGATAAAACTACTAAAGCTACCTGCCGTCGTTCTTAACTTTGAAATACTGACTAGAGGAAAGGCAGCTGATCAGCAGAACCCATCATCCATGCCAACTGATTGACTGTATAACGCTGATACAAATTAAAGAGCATGGAACACTTTATGGTATTGCATGGATTCGAAGATGGCTTGATATTTCCGAAATTCAGAGCTCTACCGTGATACTATGGGCCAATTCACTAACAGTAAACATAGGAAAATTCACATTTCGAACAAAGCGAAGTAAAGTTTTCATAGTCAATTCGATGACTAAGATTTATTAATTGTTTTCCTTTCTGCCTAAGAAACTACATAGAATGTCAATCAGTACTAACCAGTTTCCTCTCTTGTTGTTGTAATACCAAACAATGATTAATAACGGCGAAACTTGAATATGGATAAAAAAAAGCTTACATTTTCTATAAGGTTTAGATAACAAATATACAAACTGCGACGCTTTGCTTTACCCAAAAAATCTCATATAATTTAAATCAATATGAACCTGTTTTCGCTTTGTTTTTTGCTTGTTGTTGTTGGGGGCCGGGCGTGGTCTAGTTGGCAGAGGGGTTGGTCAGCTGCTTTCTCTCCTTACTCTATCATTTTAAAATTAGGGACGGCTAGAGAAGGTGGCCATTATGTAGTTTTGTGCGAAATATAGAAATCAACGAACAAAGAAACTCTTTTTTGGTTGCAATTATAGAGTTCATAACCACGCACAAATATTTACACAGCTAATACTGTGCTTTCAAATGCACCGATATATTCCTAACTAGGAAGCTATATAGTCATGAAAACGTTTTTGATTTTAAAGAATAGAGACGTTTGTGTATATTTACAGTCTTGGCCAAAATGTTTGCATGTTTTGTAACAAATAAGATCATTATTATCAAGATAGGATACAAGTACACATAGTGCTGTCAAACTGAGAAATGCATATTTTATTAAACATCTACATATGTAATTGGTATAATGAGACAGGTTCTATGGACATCATGAACGATTTATTGGAACAACAAACAATTTTATCAGACACCTGCAGAAAGATGTGTAATTCAGCATTTCACCTATTACAACAAAACCTTACCAAAACAGATATAATGACAAAATATAACGTCAAATTGTTATAAACAGCGTCTGTAACATTATATCGGTTTATATTAAATATTCAGTACTTGATTGGTCCAACTCGTACTCTAATAACCTCCGCAAGGCGACGTGGCATGCTGTCGATGAAGTTATTGGTGTAACCCACCGTGATTTCATCCCAACTTGTCAATAGAAGGCGCTGCAACTCTGCTACAGTAGATGTTTTTAGGTCGTGGTTAGCAATTTTCCGGCTCAATTTTGCCCAATAGTTCTCAATGGGATTACAATCTGGAGACTTTGCTGGTACTAGGAATCTCGTAACATCCTCCTGGTAGAGATAATCCTGTACAATACGCACACTGTGGGTAATGGAATTGTCATCCTGGAACACAAAGTTATTGCTAAAGCTTGCCTTAGCATATGGCATGAATGTCGTCTTCACGTGATGCCTGTAGGAGGCGTCATTGACGTTTCCCTGGAGGATATTAAGAGTAGTTTTTCCACTATGATGAATAGCTGGCTATACAGGTACTGCACAACCTCCTGTGTATTTTCTATGGGAAAGACAGTCTTCCTTCATCTGTTCTCCAGGTAAACGGCGAACGCTAATCCTACCATCAGCTTTAACAAGCCGGAAACAGGACTCATCTAAAAAATATCACGAGTCGCCAGTGTCCTAACTGTAAGTTGGCATGCTGTCTTGCCCAAGTAACACGGTGATGGCGTTGAATTCTGGTTAATATCGGTTTGCAGATAGCCTTTCTTGCAAAATAACCTTGTTTGTCAGTCTCCTATTCACTGTTGACTGGTCAAAACACGGTCATATCAGCAGTGATGTTTCGGTGTCTACTAGCAGACTTTCCTGGAACAACGTTTCCTGTAGTCCGATGACGTTTCAGGATTCTGGATACAGTACACTGGGGGTCCCCTACTGTTCTGACAATATCCGTTTGCTTCATATCTGGACAGTCAAACAATTTAATGCCCTATAAGAAATTGTCTGAACAAAGCGTTGATCTGTTTATAAAAATAGTGTATCAAAAACACACTCTTTTATACAAAACAGGCGTGTATATGTGTTTTGACGAACAATGCTTAAAACAACTTGCACAAACCAGAATAACAATTAGTACATGTTTGTCCGATCATGCGCTACATTTACTGTTAGTACGCGGGCATTTACTCAATAACCCTCTTGTGGCATAGTGGTATGTCTGCGGATTTATAACGCTAGAAACCGGGTTTCGACCCCCGCGGTGGGCAGAGCACAGATAGCCCATTGTGCAGTTTCGTTTCGAGTTTACTTACTGATTATAAGTATTATCTTAATACAAATTACAGCTTTCACAGTATTTAAGAATGACCGTTCTAGTGATCGAAAGTCGTGCGTTTTAAAAATATTCTTTCTAACTGTAACATGTAATAAAATAAAACAATGTTTAGTTTACTAGTCGTGTTGTTGGAATGCGAGAAATTTAGATCGTTTTTATGAAAATTGGTTTGGAATGTAAATATTTGAAAGTATAAAATGATAATAATACATCCCCATATCACTCTGTT